AAGAAACGCGACCGACTTTTGGAGGAAACGGTATTTCTTCGGATTCGGCGTCGGACCTGCTTCCCGAAAGCGATCCAGTACTAATCGGTGGTTGGAATTATGTTCTTTGATGTTTCTCCCGAAAACGAGGATGTCGTCCAGATAGATAATTCGTTTTTTCGGGAATAGGCCACGCAATACCGTCTGGATAAGCCGCTGGAAGGTAGCTGCCGCGTTGTAAAGCCCAAAAGGCATCGTTTGGAGCTCATGTAGTCCACTTGGCACAATGAAGGCTGTTTTTTTCTCTATCCTTCTCCGCTACCTTCACCTGCCAGTAGCCGGACTTCAGATTCAATGTCGAAAACCACTTTGCTCCTTGCAGAGAGTCCAAAGGGTCGTTAATGTGGGGTGAGGGAACGCGTCCGTCTTTGTTACTGCATTGAACCTCCTATAGTCGACGCAAAGACGTAGGCTGCCGTCACTTTTTAAATAATGCGATGGGGGAGCCAAGGTGATTGGGAGGGCCTGATAACGTTGTAGCGCAGCATCTCGTCAATCAATAGATGTACTTCGTCTTGGAGGGGTGGTAGCATGTGTCTAGGCTACTGTCAGACCGGTTTGCCTCACCAGCATCGATCCTGTGTTTGGCTTTGTTCGTTCGTCCCAGTTTCGCTCCCTCACAGGAGAATATTTAAGAGTAATTTTCTTAGGGGTGAGTGCGGCTATGTCCTCTCAACCTTAGTAACCTATTATAATTAGGCTCAGAGATGGTTTAGATTTGTCCCGAGGACGACAAGAGCGACAAAAAGGGACCTGTATATATCAACTGCGTCTTTCCTTGGTTTAGGAATCGAACTTTTCTTCTCGGACCTTCAATGGGTTGTGAGCATGCCTGTATGGAAGTCCATAGTCGCGCGGGCCTGGCGTAAAAATCCGGCTCCTAGCAGTACATCATAGGCAAGTTCTGGACACAGGACAAAATTCACCACTTTTAGCTATCCTTCCCGGTTGAGACTCTGATAGATGTTTCTCCTATTATCGATATTTCTTTTCCTTCTGCAGAGCATAGTAATGGTAGCCGGTGGGGTAATATTAACCTTGCTGCAAACCATGGGGAAGGCTAGTGGGTTTGGTAGGGAAAGGGTTGCTCCCGAGGTCCAGAAGGAAAGAGCATGTGTGACCTCCTATCTTACCCCGTAGGCATAAAAGTAGGAGATCGTGAGAAAAGCAGGTACGATATAGATAATTCTGTCTTGCTTTGTGTTGAGGGACCGTTTCGAAGCGCCATTGGCCGCCAGTAGTTGGCCGCCTTCTGGGAGTCCACAGGCGAAACCGGGTGTTGAACTCGGTTGAGAATTGGAACTCCTGGAACTTGGAGATTGCCACGTCAATGAGACAACTCAATACGCTCGTCGTCATTTTCACCAGTTGCTTTGCCAAGGCGGGTGGACGTAAACCCCTTTTGAACTGGGCCGCTATCCTTGAGGCGACCCGCAAAGAACAACAATCCTTAAACTACTATTTAGCTAACAACTGGACACTCCTCGCGAAGTCTTTATCACTCTCCTCAGGTTTTTGTAACCGGTGACAAAAGTCTGAAGCCAAGAATTATTCCTTCTGGAGGGACATCAATTTGACAAGAACCTTACAGCAATCTTCTGTATCCGAGGCAAGCGTAATACCCACATCCATTGCTTCGCGATGTAGATCGTAGGGCAAGGCGCGGAGCAGCAATGACACTGTCCGTGCAAGATTGTTCGAGCTTTGCCTTTGTAAAAAAGAGCCAGTTATCGAAATCTGTGCTTTCTTTAAGGGGAAGGATGTCGACCGACGCTGCCACCAGTGTAGGGAATGTCTGCCTACCCTCATGTCCTTGAACCACGGACTTTAAGAGAGGGTTAGTTGCAGTAGATTTGTTAGGCATTGAATACAGGAAGGACGGGGATAGGAGTACAGATGAGCCGAATAGCAGATATCACCCAGAGAGGGATCCCTCACGTACCTGCCGCACCAGATTCGCATTCGAATTCGCTTCCCCTTCCCCTATAAAGGTAGACTTAAGCGCTTGTATATATTACATCAACTTCCTTGAAGTGTCACTCTGCATTTAATGCAGTTTTCAAACACGTTCACGAAGCTCAGGACACACAATGCTAAATCGAATAATATCGTGCCTGCCCGATTAGGGCCTTAGAAATCATAAAAATCACATGTGATACCTATCGGGCCACTTTAAAAGTACATTGCAGGTGAGCATCCGCTCAAGGATACTCATTTTGCACTGGTCTCTCGCACATGTAGCTGCTCGCTTAAGAGCAACGTCTTTATAGTGCTTTTGAGGGTCGTGGTAAATATCCTGACCTTGAAGAAACTCCTTTGGGTCTGAAGTGGTTTGGATATCATTGTTTAGCGATGGTCAGTATGAACCAAAAGGTGACTCCATCTTCCATTACCTTGCACTCAAATCATATGTAAGGTAAGAAGTGGGACTCTGAGTCTTCATGTAAAAAGGCAAGATTGCACTTTAGAATAGAGTCATTTCTTAAAATCCGCACCAGCTTGGGAAGGGGGAGGCCTACCGACGCTGCTAACAATGTAACCTCTCCCTTTTTATCATCTACTTCCTTCCCAATGGGTTCTTTGGGAAATCGTCTACCTCATTGGGCTTTGTATGGCATCTTACGAATTATGAGTGTGGCTATGGGTATAAAAAATAACATTTCAGTCCGAGGAAATGCTGTCACTACTCAAGCACCACCGCCGAGAAATTGAACCCACCTCCCAAATCAAGGCGATATTTTAAACAAACCAATGGGCAGTGTACCATCAATTACCAAAAATTAGGATCGACTGAAAGTTAAAACATCTAACCGAATACCCTGTGCTCTTTTAGGTCTATTGTCCTGCGTTAAAATTAACAATTTTAGACAGTGGTGCAAAAACCCACCCTTGCACAAGGCTCGTTAGCTTAAATTGGGCGTCCACCTTAACGACTGCGTCACAAAACAGAGAATACGGTATTTGTATAAGTTTATATCCAAATGCAGAGCCTTATAACATAGGATGGGATTTATCGTAGGTTCGTGGGAATTAGGACTCGAGCTCACTCCTCCATGTTTTGTTCGCCTATAAGTGTCCAGGTGGGTTTATCTGAGCTTAACCCATCTATTAGAGGTGTGGAGGAAGTTGTCCATAATTACGCAGATTTTGCCTTCTTACGAGCAAGAACGCCAGCTGCCTGTTTACCTCTCTTTTGTAGATGAATTAAAACCAGTGTCGTTTGGGTTTGTACTGTCTTATCCACAGAACACGAGAATTTAGACTACTTATGGCAGACTCAAGTGGAGACCGTCACAAGTATCCCCATTCGTAGTAAGAGAAGCTAGGGTGTTCACTTTTAAGAATGCTTTTCTTCGTTGCCTACTTGACTTCTGGAAATTTTCCAGAAGCTGAACGAAAGCCTAGTACTAGGAGAGAATACACATCGTTATAAAACACTAGAATGGCTTGAAGACCAGAGTGCTCACCAGGAGGCCTACTATCAGAGCTAGATGAGGCCTAAACACAAGGGCTAAGCAGACACTCAACTGATCACAACACCCTCTAAATGCCAGTAACCCCAACTCAAAAAATGTTTGTCCTCACTAGTAAATCTTCATTTGTATCCACGCTCGTTGTTGAGTAAGACAATGATTTTCAGGTGAAGTGAAAAAAGGTAATGTACCACCCCTCCCCTGTTGTCTCCCAGGGATTTGCATATGACAATTTGATTTTTCAACCCAAAAGCACTCCTCAGAGGCCACTTTGATGGCTCCAAAACCAACAATGAGTCTAATAATGCCAACGAACCACCTTCAACACGCAAATCCGGGGACCAACATTCACTATAAAAAAGAATTAAAATTATTATAGCGTCAAGAGACGAGCAGTTGGATTCCCACCAAAGCAACCCGTAAAATAGGACATTAGTTCGACTGATTAACAATATAGCCCATATCATTTACCATGAAGCACGTCAAAATTACAATCATATATGCGAAATGCAGCATCGACCAAGACTGGATAATTGAAAAAGGAAATCCAAAGACTGTACATGGAGGCTGCGTTAAAGCGGAAGGAGGATGGGATATTGCAAGGAGTGAGGCTGACACAATTCAGCAACTAGCGCCCCAACTTCGAGAAGCGCTCAAGATCAGGTACTGCTGTTACAAACTGGTCAATATGACCGAGGGAGTTGAGGTTAACCACACCTCCGTCCTCTTCTCCACCTTCGTCCTCCACCAGTACCACATCCTGAAAACAGAAATGAAAGAGAACAGAAGATAAGTAGAAAACAGGCAAAATATGTGTTTCATAAATAAATACAAGGTATGATGAGCTAATGAGTTCACTGATCTGACTGATCACGATGCCGTGTAATCAGTTTCTTTCAGGACACCTGTGTAAAAAGCAACAAAATTGCTAACTACTATCGATGTCTATCAAAAGCATTGACACTAGGTATGACCTTAGAAAGCAAAAAAAGTAGTTGTTCATCAAAGTGTACAGAAAACAATAGGCGATGCAAATTCGTCATTTTAGTGGCTAGTTCGAATAGAGGGTAAGTAGCAAAAAAAAATATGAAACACGTTTCTGCATGCTGAGTAATGGTCACCAATATTCCTGCACTCCTTTGTGAGGTTATGCATAAGCCTAATCCGGAAGTTCAAACGCTGCATATGCTGTAGTGACATCAACTTTCAGTATGGAACACTTCTAAGCAGAAAGAGTTGCGAACGCACCGATGAGTAAGAGGTTACACCAGGACTCGTAAGGCGAAAGAAACAATCACCGATTACCAAACGCGCCTCACCGTTATCTAATATTTGGATTTTGCCGAACTTGCCCTCCTTCAGTAGGGGCGATTCCTACAAGCGAGAGAATAATGCCCTTGGATTTAAGCGATTGGCAAGCATGATCTTCCTACATGAAAATTTGACAGAAACCGCAGCCTTTGGAAAAATGAAATTTTAGTGGAAATTGCAAACCTGAAGGGCGTAAACACACAGACTTCACTAAATTATAATTAATTAAGAACGTGACGGTCCAAATCAAATTACGCATTAACTTTAACTGCCAATACTAGCACCCTAACCCAATTTATACCTTTCATGCAAATGTAAGCCTGGGAATAAGTGAAAAACCTCAACAAGAAAAGGACAAAGTAGTGATCCCCCACCTCTGAAAGAAGAGCTCCAGGAATTCGAAGGTAGAAAAGACTGCCGTTAATAGAGGATTCATCGAAAAGTCGAGAAGGAATAACAGTAGATGTAAGACTTTTTGATGCCACCAAGTTTGAGGAGAAATCTGGAAGTACAAAACTTGTCATTACATTATTTGGCCTAATAACATAGTATTTAAGAAATACCAACCTGCGACAGGTGGGAAAGTAAGAGCGTTAGCATCAGGAACTGCGGGAGGGTCTGGAGGCATGCAGATGGGTGGGTATTTGTAAAATTGTCGAACATCAGTGACAATAGTCCTATGGCATTCCTCAACTTCGATCTCCGTCGGAGACGACGACGACGGAGCCACAGCCTGTACAGACGGCTTGTTGGAGCATTTTGGAAGAGATTCTTACAAAACGAAAAGTTACTATGAATACAGAAGGTGTCGGTGGAAGGGAACAAGAAGCGCCACCTCAATGTATACAGAAAGAAAAACTGAATCGAGCAAAAGTGATCAAAAGGATACTACGCAGAACTGCGACAATCAAGTGATGCGCAAAAGGTGAAAAACAGAATGAAAGGGATATTACAAGCAAAAGGAAAATAAGGAAATAAACATACGTAGTTCAACGGAACTTTTGTCAGATTGAGGAACGGATCCAAGCCCAGTCTCAAAGATTGAAAAGCTTTGAACGAAACGCGAATCGCTACCTTCCAATAATTGACGGTTAATACGAGGTCGCTTGGTATTTGATTTTTTGGATGAGTCATGGGAAATTTTGTTCTTTTGAGCTGAATCCCTGACAAAACAGACAAAATAAGTAACCACATCATGCCAACATGAGCGGCGACTCTCCAGCACAAAAAAAAAAAATAATTGAAATGGGCCGTACTTAAGATATTATGATGTTACAAAAATTTAAATCATACGCATTCTCAGACTGGGATTTTTTCGCCAAAGCCTTAGATATGTTTGGAGTGAATCTCCTCTTCTTGGAAGTAGCTTTACCGTCAAAGCTAAGCATGTTTGTAGTCTCCATTAAACAAAGGTAAGAGACAGTATTTTCTCTCGAAAACACTCGACCAGGAACCCGTGGTTAGCACACCAGAATTAGCGCAATTAACTTAACCGCTGGAGGAAGAACAATGTAACACATTATGAAATGCTATAATGGCAATGGAAACAAGCCGTTTTTAATCTTTAAATCACCTGCTATAGCACGATTATTTTAATCCCTGAAATGTGCAACATATATGAAATAAGAATAATAGCTGAGAATTTGCTTTTGAAAAGCAGAAAACCTTCAAGCCCTCACTGACACCCTTCCCATTCTTATTGCACATGAACCCTTCGTGAGAAAAAGCCGACCACTAATAATGATAAAACCATTATGGACCCTACACAGACCAAGGAAGTATGGATTTTGGTGAATAATGAGCAATCTCTGTAGCGTCACAAGGTCCCGCATCCACCAAGGTTAGAGAGGAGTAATCAAGGAGGGGGGGCGAGGGAACGCACCCCAATTCGGACGGAGGGCCAGTCCGTATATGCAGCATTGCAACCCCGACCCGAGGACTGGGAGCACCTCCATCGCTCTACAAACCTCCGCTCCCGGTGTGAGCACGTGACACTAGAGCACGGTGGCATCTTGAAATCATCAGATTGGATCTACTTTAAGCTGTTCAGTAACCACACGACACCAAAAGTCATTCGTCAAAGGTTCTCAAGTCCCTCAGAACGTCCTCAACATCCGGCTCATACATCTCAAACTCCATCCCATCGCCATCATACGGCGAAGAATTGAACGGTAGTAGTACATGGAAAAAGAATCTTTTCGCGAGAGTCTTAATTCCGCCATAGGTCCCCTTTTCCTTCACTACCCTTGAATCTGCAGGAGCTTCGAGACCCAAAAATCGGAGCCAATTGACGCGAGATCCAAAATCGAAGGGGTTATGGTAAACGATGTGATGCTTGCTGAAAGCGCGTGCCAGCTTCTGATTCTGGTAATACTCCACACTTGTTTCACCTCGTCCGATAAGGCGACCGTGCCATAGGAGAAGGCCGACAACGAAGACGAGAACGAGAATGGAAACACGGTAGAGAGCACACACAATTGTATGGACCAGGCAATTGATTCGATGACTCTAGATGGTTAGAACGGAGACAGAAATCAAACGCGGATTTGATGCTAAAAATATTCGGTTGAAACTAATAAATACAAAATTGGAATTCACTCTGCCAAATATCAGAATGCTATTTGATTAATGATGTTGAAATTGAAGAGACAAAGGTTATTTTGATGTTCGTTCCTACCTTTCAAGGTCATTGAAGTCTGTTTAGTTTGGGAGACTAACAGAATAAAGGCCGAGGCCAATGCTAACATTCATTTTTGAACCCCCGTAGCGCATCGGGTGAACCTAGTAGATGTCATTCAATATTTTCTGCCCCAAAACCGGAGTCTAACCTCAATTAGGAGCTAAAGGTTGGTTAAAATACATTCTAAATATAAGATCATATGGTACATATGAAATAATATTCATTTTATTCAGGCAGTGAATCATGCGACAATGTGGGTGCGTTTCAGCAAAGAGAACATGCTTTTTGTTATAGTCAGCGAGATTTGTATTGATTTCGATTAAACGAATTCGAGGATAAGATCATTCGATTATATCTAGTCTGAGTGATGAAACATTTCATTAAGTCCAAATTAAATGAAACTGGAGAGTCGGGGTGACAGATAAATAAATGGGTGCTGCATGACATTTCAACGGATGTTAATACAGTGAAGAGACAAGTTTACAGAAATAAAATTTTGGATGCAAAAGTGCTAAAATGGAGGTTGCCTCACATACATATCACACAAGCTTCAGCAAATAATTAACGCCAATCACTCACCTCTTCACATACCAGCCTTGAATGCTCCATAAAATCTCCGAAACCTGCCACATACAAGTACACGATACCAATGCCGAGATGAGTCAAAAATAGGAAAAAGTGTCTGTGGGTGCGCAGCCCCACACAATTATTTAGCCAAGGACAATGATGATCCATTCGCAGCACACACACTCCACAGACGACACAGTGATGTGCTCGCCACGGACGCGGACGAAGGCAACGAGAGCACATTGTTCGGGGTATGTGTGGGGACAGCGGGGACAGTGGAGGCACATGACCGGGTGAGCACAATACACCAGCGAGAAAGTGAACAAAGATATTTAGGAGAACTATGTGGCCGAGAATCGCATGAAGTAGAAGCGAGTAGAGTTCAGAAGAAGTTGAGGAAGCCGTAGCACGCCAACGAGCGAGGCGGAAGGGTAGAAGACAGGAGTAAAGAGAAATGACAACTGCGGAAATGCCAGCAGCTGAGAAGGCAACAAGACAACGACCAAAGCCACGAGGATGAGTAATGAAAAGCTGGACAATGATGCGGAGAATGAAAAGCCGCCAGTACAACAGTTTGGCCAATGTGATTAGCAGCTGGAAAAGGCGTGAAAGGAACCCCCGCACACCGGAGTGATGACATATGGGAGAAGGAAAGGTGAGCTCGTCCCAGACAAAAGCATCAGAGATCAGAGCAAGCATTTCCGATAAGCCGTGATTTCATGCGGCCGCAGTTTGTGCTGAAAAGTTGAACACACTTTCAGCGAGTCGGAGTGTCAAAATGTCACACACTAGCAAAACATGGCAATAAAGGTCAATAGAGACAAATAAAATAGACAATAGCCAAGGAAGAAAAAAATATAGCATTTCAGACGCATCTATTCCGTATTTCAATCTCAAGTTAGGCAGAATGAGGAAAATTGAACTACGGACGCATTCACATTAAAGTGCAATACATGTGGGATCACTTTAGTACATATGTTGGTTGTGAATACAAAAGGGAGAAGCTGAGAAAATCAAATGCGCTGTGATTAAAGGGCAAGCGGTTCATGCAAGTAAGAACCACACCTAACACAGAACCAGCATAAGAAATGCCACCAGCGCCTATCTTTGATGGCTGCACAAGTTCACCAATAGCAAGGAAGTGTGTTTTAACCACTATTATTCTTGTCTTGAAACCAAATGAATGCGTTTTGTGTTGTAAAGCATGATGCCGCTTCTTTGAAACTAATTTTCACATCTATATCCTAGTAACAAAATGCCTTGTCGAACACTTAAATGTAATTAAAAATCCTTGGTCTGCCTGAAATTGAATAGCTCAAGGTCATGTCGACCTCGTGTTTCCCTTTTAAGTGTGATCTGGCCCTTCATTCCACTGCGATATAGCACACGGTTTAATCAATGCCGGGATTTTGTTCGAGTACTGACAGGCCAATTTACTACCAAACCATCCACCACTTGTTTAATTGCGCGCGTCTGAAGTACTTGCTGTCACTCTCCACTGCCCTAATTTTGTATCTCAAATGGAAAGTTTTCTTAGTGGATGCGGCACTATAAAATTGGATGCCTCCTCGCTATTTAATGAAGCGCCTGAGGACGATGAGGCCAATGGATCAGTATACGGAAAAGGCATGTCTCCGAACCTTCCCAACCGACCACCGATAACATATAGCCCCACTTCAAACGATTCCAATAACCTTCCCGGCTTCGACCTAACCGCTGGCAGTGAGTGGCACTATCCCGCTGGCGTCGAACTGCGAACCTATCAGTTTGTAATTACTGAAAGATGTCTCTATCAAAATTGCTTAGTCTGCATTCCCACTGGTCTGGGGAAGACGCTTATTGCAGCTGTCGTTCTGCACAACTTCCTTCGTTGGTATCCCACCGGTTGTGTAGTTTTTATGGCTCCCACTAGACCTCTTGTCTCTCAACAAATGATTGCTTGTCGGGACTTTACTGGACTTTCTATTTCCGGCACGCGGCCAGCTGTGGCGGTTGAATTAACGGGCACAACATCACCTCAGCAACGTGCAGCTCTTTGGAATGGTCCATACCGTGCTTTCTTTCTCACACCCCAAGTTATCGTTAATGATCTCACTGCTGGTATTTGTCCTGCTACTTCAATTCGCTGTATGATTATCGACGAAGCCCACAAGGCAACTGGGAATCATGCCTATTGTCAAGTAAGTTCCTCTCGAATAACGTCTTTTTGTTCAGGTTATACGATTAATCACGGGAGCGCCTTACAATCATAGACAATTTCGTGTGGTTGCGCTCTCAGCAACTCCAGCCTCAGACCTTCTAGGTGCTCAGGCGGTAATAGCGAACCTTCTCATTTCTCATATCGAGGTGCGCACTGAATCTAGCCCCGATGTTCGTGAGTATTGTCATAAACGAGCCATCGAGACCATTGTAGTATGCCTTGATTCACAACTTTCCTGCTTCAAGAAACGTCTCTGCGACCTTGCTCTCCCACCATTTAAGCGCCTTTGTGAATACAAGGCACTGTGGATTTCGAATTCCGATCGACAACCTCACCCTGAAGCGTTTGCACCCTACACATTAGTAAGAGCCCGAGAAGCATTCCTTCGAGATAATTCCTCTTCACCCTTAACTGGCTTAGTTCTTCGAGACTTCCGACTAGCTGGGTGCTTTGCTCGAGCCCTTGAACTACTCACATTGTATGGCCTGCGCCCTGTATATCAGTATCTGCTCACAAATACAGGGTCGTCCAACGATTTGGCTCATGTTTCAGGCCTACGAGAGTTTATCTCCGATCTCAGGAGCGTTCTCGGTGTCACTGACGCTACTTCAGCAATGAGTCAACTGCCTTTTGTTGCAGGTCATCCAAAGTTGCTCAAGCTCCGCGACGTACTGATTGAACACTTTTCAGTCACTTCCGAACGCTGTTTAAGTCAGCGAGGTACTCGAGCGATAGTTTTCACACAGTACCGTGACTCTGTTTCGGACATTATGTATATGCTGCAAGCCTACTCACCCACTTTACGACCCGCAGTATTTGTGGGTCAGTCCACTTCTACTTCTGTAGATGACCAACATCATTCAAGGAAACGGACTACTCAGCGAGACCAACTCCAAGTAATGGAGATGTTCCGAGAAGGTCGTGTCAACATTCTCATTTCCACTTGTATTGGTGAAGAGGGTTTAGACGTAGGTCAAGTGGATCTTATCGTCTGTTTCGATGCGCCCAGGTCACCGTCTCGTTTGATCCAGCGTCTGGGTAGAACTGGGCGCAAGCGATCTGGACGTGTGGTGGTTCTCCTCACACAAGGTCGAGAACAAGCCAATTTCGGCCTTAGTATGACCCGTTCAAACACTGTTCATAACACCCTGTTACAAGGTCAAGCTACACGGAAACTGGTTCTCTATCCTCACAACCCTCGAATGGTACCGCTTGGAGTAAATCCCTCTCCTGTACTTTGGAAACCTTCAATCCACTCAGATACTGATGCCTGTGCCATTCAAGAAGTAAGTAATCGAAAGAAATATTTGGCGCCTCCAAATCTTCGATTCTCCCTCTGTGAAGCTTCTGCTCTCTTGTCACTTGGTCAAGTGGATACGGAGATCGGGGACACATTTTCTCGACGCTACTCGGTGAATCGGTGGATTCCATTAGTCCGCGAGAGCTTTCAGTCTGAAGCTTCAGGCCCATCGACAACCACGTGGCATTTAGTTGCTTCGCTGCGTCTCCTTGAATTGCATCGAAGGGGTCGAACAAATGCGATATACCATGCCATGGGCATCCGAAAAGTTGATATGATCTGTTCTCTATCTGATATTCCCGCTTCGATGTCTCAGTTTTCGCAGACTGCTTCAGAAAAAACTATGGAATCACCGCTTGCGACACAAGCTCAGCTTAAGTCTTCACCATCGATTAATTCGTCAATCCGACTCTTTCGAGGGCTTGTATCGAAAACTTTGATGGTCGATCCGCGAATCAATGGATCCGATAAGCTTAATCTTCCCGACGTTGTTCCTATAAGAGGAATAACGTTGGAGGGTCTGAACATGGAGTTTGAGAAAATGATTGCATCTGGAGACGTTTCTTCCACTCCAGAGTGTCAAAACTCAACGTGCTCAGAATCTGTGTCTTGTGACTCAGCATCTATATTACCTACACCATTTTCTTCATCTTTTTGTATGCCTCCGCAAACTGACTCCCCTCCAGCCAAGAGGCTACGCGTACTGACTACTACACAGGAGACTATTTTGAGTGTTTCGAATGCAACTAACGACGTGCAGCCCAACCTGAAATTGCGCCTCAGTGAAGACTTGGATAACTTCCTTAATTTGCGTTGAGGGGTTGATCTTATTTTGAATCCCTAAGGCTGCTGAACTAAGGCATGAAGGATCTCTGTGCTTTGAATGCTGTCAAGTAACATTACATTGTTAAATGCCAATGGGAAAATCCGGATGTATTCTCTGACACGTGACAAATCCTTTTGAATCAGAGGACACTCGCATTTAGCACTGATATGGACTAGCAGGAGGCAGGTAGGTCAAGGTACATTTTTACGTGAAGCTGAACTTATTCCAATCACTCATACGAATTCGAGCTCCTACGATTCTTAATTCTTCACTGCGACATTAGTTGTTCCATCCATGTGGTATAAAAGAGGCCTGTTTTTGCTAGAAAATGTGCTCTAAGATTTATACAGAAATCGAAACAAACCATACAATCGCAATTGAAGCCAAATTGGATAGGAGTGATTACGTGCATATAGTTAAGTGCCTCAATGGTAGGTAGCATCAATCCTTCCTTTTATCCATATCCAGGTCGGCATTGCCCGAGCAGTTGCCCCTAGGTGGGGGTTCTGAACGAGAGATCTGGAGTGCATTCAGTGATGCTGCCCTTTTCATTTGACCTTTGCCGTCATTCTCTGGAGCTCTGGGGACGCTAACCTTCTTATCACTTATTTTATGATGACATGCATGTTTGGTTGCAGCTATTGCTTTGTGATGCAGGACGCCAAACCATCTCAAGAAATATAGATCTTTGCATTGTGCTGGTTCGGGCTTTGCTTCTTTCTCTCTATTGTTGGCTACAGACTCGAAACTGTGCGCAATTTTTGGCTTGGAGTATCGCTTTCTATTCATCAGCGGTCGCAATCATTTCTCGCGATGGTTGTATTGAATAAGACAAACAAGCGTTACACTATGTATTCTTAGGCCTGTAGTAGGATTTGAATGAAGTTAAAGGTCTAAAATTACTAAATGTCACCATATTTTCGGCGATCCTATTAATCTGGGGGCTCAAAACGCTTGGATGTGCTGAATGCCTGAGAGATGGCAGGAATTGTTAAGGGCACTTACTGTTTTTTAGTTTACTAACAAGAACTTCGCACCCGCTGACAAGTCACATTTTAGGTAAGACAGTTCTAATCTTTGACCGAAAATATACCAAAAAATTCCAATGCACTGGGGCACGTAATGCAGTGTCTAAGCATGGAATTTCGGACTAGTCTCATGTTTTAACGTGAACACCAGTACGAAGAATGGGGAAATATTTAGCGCTGAATATCAAAGCACCCTCCCATCGGTCATTTGTATGCAAGTAACGCATAAAATTTGTCAAATCCTCAGATAAGAAAACTGCTTGTAATGCTCTGCAGCTAGCGCTATTTTTTGCACCACTAGCAGTTTTGACGATCATGATGGCGTCGGTAGGTGAAGGAAGGAGGTAATTAGAGCTGAATACATATACTCTAAGGGTAACTGAGACCAAACTTCGGCTGGCATTCTAGTCCAGCTGAAGCTCACACGATCAGGACAATTTATTAGGTAGCCGTCAGTTTTGCGAATGTTTATATAAATAAAATATTTCATGGCTAATCAGCCCTTTCATCCATTTTGGTGCATCCTACTTGATTATTTTCTTCAAAATTCTCTTCTCTTCAAGGCAATTGGTTGTGCGAAGGGCAAATTCATGTGGTACCCTTTTCGAATCTGGCATTCGTTGGCAGATTTAGGGTGTCCTTGTTCTGTTGCTACTGTTGCTAAAACAGGACTTCTGTTTATTTTAATCATTGAAGGACTCTCTGTCCCTCAGGTTTAGTGAATGACAAGTATTTTTGAGCAATTCATTATGAGTTCAGATACCCTATCAAATTGTTTGATATACGAAAATCCGTTCCAGCGTAGTGTCACGTTCTGCGCTTTCTCTCAGTGTGGAGATTATTTTGGATTTATCGAGAATCGGCGTCGCGTTCACATATATCAAACGTCCGAGCTACTGTAATTTCTTGCTCTGCTAATATATGTGAAAGCGAAAATTACGGAATATTTGTTTCAGCTTTATGGCATTGTTTATGTCTTATTGTAACCTTCTTCCGAATATTATTAAGCAATGGTTAAAATGGAGGTGATAGTGATATCATCGTTTATCTACATTCAGGCTGAAGCGCATCTTGTAGGCTTTCCAGCTGACTTTCATAGTTATTGATATTTTTTTGGTACTGGCTTTACATTGCGCTTGTTCTTCGTTCATTTGTTATTGCTCCTTTTTCCTATACTTCAGTTGACCTATTATATTATTTTTAGGCTTGTCATTTGTTCCTTTGTTCCCATTATAACAACGAACTCTTTTGTTTGCTTTCTTCGAAGTTATTCACAGTTTTATTGGTAAAGTTTTGGTTGCTTGATTTTAATTAGCATTGAGGCGTTCCTTCCTATTTCCCCTCTGATTTTTTAGTTAACTAGTCTCGATCATTTCTGGTTGCATTTAACCTGGTGTTGAGATTACGTGTTTATACAGTGACTTTCTTATCATTGTCTTTTTTGAATGTTCATTTTCCGATTCTTAGTGTCTTATTTTTGCTCTTACTTTAGGAGGTGTTCGACGGACAGCCCTGTTGGCGTCATTGCCCACACCAATGGCGAATCTCTCTGGCGCTGGAACGATGTGCCAGTAGACCTATCACCTGCTATCTCCATCGAAACCACAGGCAATGTGGATGTGAATTTCATTGTCTTCGGTGATGGGGACGTTAGAAGGTGTCGTCTGCCTCACCGCCTGGCCAAGCGCTGCTCTGTGGTTACTAAGCGCCCTGATCAGGTGTGCATCGTCGCGGTGGCTAAGTCAAATGGCTACATCGAAGTGTATAACCTTAAGCTTCTCAAGGAACATTACCCTCCTAGTATGTAGGAGTCATGCTTTCTCCTCTGTCGTTCGTTTTATTCTTAACTCTTGTCTACACAACAACGCTTTTGTACCTTTGGTTTCAATTAAGCTATTTTTAGTGATAATGTTGCTTGGGTCTTGGTTTACGAACAAAATGCGACTCCTTTGGGTCTACTGTGAAGTGCAATAAGTGGGTGCTTCAATAAAGAGATCTCCTTAGATCAACGTATTAACTATTCCCATAAATTTAACAGATTACTACTTTATATTTCTGGACATCCTCTGTTTCTCTGATCACCTGTACCCATCAGTCATTCGTGTTGTAGCACTGTCCTCATCTTAAACAAATGCTTCAAAGCGCACTTTAACCGTTCCACCGGACCATGTGGTCAAAAATGTCATCTCATTAGTTAGTTATCCAATCGGATGGTGCTTACATCAGTATTTGTGAACGTCTACCTCTATGGCAGCGCAATCGTTTTGTGGTGGCCTTGTCTGTTTTCCGTTTAACTTATATTGTTATTTATGGTTGACCAATGTATAACGCCTTGATTAGAGAATCCTTTTGGCGATGTCAGCTCAACAATTAAGGCGAATAATCGTCACACTTAATTTTAGCTACCCTATCCACAATCAACTTTTTCATTTAACTAACTTCGCCATGACATTCATGTCTTTTCATGCACCCTCACCTTGTTGTCTCTGTTAGCTAATTCTCCCACTTTTCATCCACCATTAGTCCTAGACCCGTAAAATGATTGTCTTTTATTTGTTTGTGGTGTCCGAGCTATGACGTGGAGAGCTACTGATTACCTTGTTTTTGCCCCACCGAACGCATAATGGCATGGTTACCTGCAAGACCATTAACCGTACACGGTTTGTTGAAAGCCATTATAGGATTTGCTATGAAATCTCTTCTCTCGTGGAATTTAGTGCATTTTTTAGCTTAAATACAACATTTCCAGCATGTCACATGATGTAATGCCATGCCAGCAAGGCAGAAGTCCAAACTGTGTTGTCTGAATGGACTGGAAACCACTTTTTAAGATGCATTTTTTTAAATATATCCTTCTTGCAGTTCTCGCCAAACCGTTGCATTGTTGTCTTGCTCACGAATATATCGAATTGATTTTGGAGTGACTTGACCAGTCTTTCCTTTTTTACTACTTAAAGCCCAACGGTTTCCCAGCTGGATCCTGCTAAGTCGCCTTTCATTTGCGTGAAAGGTAAACGGGTTAAATGAGTCTTAATTGCGCTTGTGTCTAACTTCAGCTTTTGGTGAAGCTGGCATCGTTCGACCATCGATAGTGAAAATGTGTAAAGCATGTAGAATTCCACCAAATGTGAAGTGATGTAAATGGCACCAGAATAACTTATGATAAACATGCATTAAGCTATTTTGGAATTGATATTGTTTCGTAATATTCAGATGATTCCTCACTCCTGTAAACTCAATGTGTCCCCAATTTCGAAACGTTTGGTCCCATAACCGTTAGAGAGTGCTTTTGATAAATTCCGATTGTGTTTCCATGTGTATATTTTCAGCACTGTCGAAAATGGTGCTCTTTGACGGTGGCCAATCCATTTTACACCTCACCATATCAATGGAGGGCGCTCTGCGTCTCGCTTCGACCAGTTATGAGGGTGTGGTGAAATTGTGGGACATCTGGGATGATGGTAACATGTACGCCACTCTCACTTCTCTCACTGCTGTTACCTCTAGTGGCATCAAGGACCTCAGCGTAAGTCCCTCTTGCCACTATTTCTCTTCTACCCTCGAACGGGGTAGTAGTATTGCATGTCGATGGGTCTTATCGGTAGTGTAAGGTTATCCACCGCACTTAGTTCATTTCAACTTTTATATTCTCATGTACTTAGAATCCATTTGCACACTCTTTCGAAACCTACAAATTGGCCACCTATACAATAGTTGAGTTATAATGGTGGCATCATTGCCTATTTCTTCTGTCAATACCCTATCCTACTTTTCATAGCAGGATCTGGAATAGCAATGTTCAAGTGAACTAATGTAGTCCCTTGGAAGTTGCATACCACCTACTAAATTCTCTGATAGGCAGTGCGCAGGTTGATTGAACAGACCGGTGTGAAGGCATTTTTTCGCAACCCGTTTTGTAGGCCAATGCACTTTCCACTTATCCATTATTTTCATCGCAATATAATCAAAAGTATCTGCTTGGACAGACTAGCCTAACCGCAATTTTGAGGTTGGTCCCTTTGCTTTCGTAGAATAGTGTCAAGAAATGATCTCGATTGGACTGTGCAAAGTTCTTTACCGTGATCCTCGAATATCTCAATACGCCTTCACTTATAGCGTTGGAATTGAGATGGAAGTTGATGAGTGTTGATGTTTCTCCCTGTTATTTTCAAATTAGTTAAAATTGTGATTTGAGTAAAAGATCTTTGCTACTAAGACCAGGAAGTGGAATTGTATGCTCCTGCACTTTCTTATCATGTTATACATGCTTAAGCCTTTCCTGGAGGCGTTACCAAGATAGAGGAACCGAGTGGATTTACGCATGACTGGAGTACTATTTGCTCAAATCACTGCACCAACATGATCGCAAATTAGTGGCATTAGTGGTTGAATAAGCGCTAAAATCTGGTGTTACCACTTGGAGCATCCTTTGATCGCTTCTGTTTTTCACTACTGCAAAGCAATCCGTAATCGCGTCCACAATACATTAGCACCACCACGCCTCCTCGATTTTTCTTTCTTTCCTGTTGACTCGCCCCCTTAAGATTTGTGAGGAAATCCTTTTTGGGGTTATAATTCAACGTCACTAGATTACCAAGATGAGGTCGTTGTAAAATGGCTTATTTGGCTTTAGAAGTACTGCCCCGTTGGGGTCAGTTGGAGAATGTTTTAAGAGCGAACTCCTCCTCTGCAAACGAGAGTATACAAATTAAAGCTGAAAGTCGTTGTCTTCTATCTAAATTTTCGGTAGGTTGAAGGCTAGTCAATCTGGCGTTGTGGGCTTAAGTCTTTTAGCTCAAGAGTCTGAGCAGGTACACAGATGGACATCTTTCATTTTTTAAACTCGCTAAGTCCTTACCGCATTCATTCATACTTTGGACAGTCGTAAGTTGACGACTAGAAGGTGCTGTCAAAGGCGCTTTGCTAAAAGACCCTTAAAAGGATTGCAAATTATGTTTGAAACGATTTCCATAGATGTCGAAGACAGTGGTTTCTAGCTGAACTGCTTGAACTCACAATTTCAAGGACCTTCGATTCGGCGCTTCTATTTAAACCTTGTTCTAATTTATTAGCATTCCCTCCGAACCTTGGTTTCTAAAGTTTTAAGTAATTTCATCCTCGAACCTCTGAACAGCTATTACTTGAACGGAGTTGAATGCATTTCCCATTTACAGTGGTACAAATGTCATCTCATTGTCCTTCCCATAGAAGTCGGAAGTAGCGTGGCCCTACAACTACGAGGTCACCGTCACTGTTTGGCATCCCTACGGTGGTCACCTTTTTCTTGGTAGCAAGCGGGGTCATGGATTGGTGCTAGAGGTAAGATTTCTTGCTTACTACGGTCGTTGCTATTCCCTTGAAGGATGAAAATGTGAGTGTACCGTCCTGAGACCCTCAATTCAGTAATGGTAGGCATAATAATTGACTGAATGCTTGTATTCACAACGAAAGGATTGAGGTGGGACTCTGGCGTGGACAGGAGTCAATTGAATAAGCATAGTACTAGAGTAATGGTTATGGCCTTTTTGAAAACTGATATCTAACTTCATTTGTTATCCATTCTTCATGAGGATCGAATAAGTGAATAAATTCAAGTTGTCGCTTCACGTCTACTCTAATGTCGTTTTCCTTGTTTAGATACCCCTTCATAAACGACCATTCAAACGCTTTAGAAAATTGGAATCCTTCGCTTAATTCGTTGTATTTCGCTAATTATTTCAGCATGGGATTGTCTACACGAATGATGGTAGTAAACATTCCCTTCCCTACTATGGTCCTTCTGCAACTCTTTTATTTGCACATAGGATGAACGTCCTTTTCGTTGGATTCGTTGCCTTCACCACTATCATAGAATTTCAGGAGCGGCCTACAGTCGAGATGGGGATTTCCTCCTCACTGCTTCTTTCGATGGCGTCTGTACTCTGTGGTCTGTGCCTTCGTATGCTCCCGTTCACCACTATCAGTAGGTCCTAGTTGCCTTGCCACAAACTCTTCCTCACTTCATTTCAGAATTTTACAGATGGATTATTTTAGGTCAGAGAACCTCTTTGGACCTCAGCTATCTGATAACAGTCTTGTGAACCATTTCTCCATCAATGTCCGTTTTCTTAGTAGTATTCATTGTAAGCAAGTCTTCATTCAATCACAATTATGTCTTGTGCATTGAGTTGAAACTGCTCATCTATTCTGCGATTTTTTCCGAGTCCTAGGCTTCTCACTGCATATAGGTAAAATTTGTACTCTTACCAACCCGGGTATTTCATTTGATCATTCTGTGCTCAAATTTTACTCTGGTTTATTTTTTGCTGCTTATGTAATTATAAGTAGCGTAAAATTTAATAAAATTGTTTCGATGATTACCAAATGCGGCCTTTGTTTGACTCTAATGATTTTAAAAATGTTTAATGGATTTGCGAAGTGCTTTGGAATAGTGCTTTAGACGCCTAGCAGTGGTTTACAAATGGAGTCAAGTCTTTTACCAAAACTACATCTGCTTTTGTGATCTTGGGACAGTCCATGAGCAGCGCTAAACCGTATCCTCTTCGACTTGGAGGTTTCACGTGCCATAAATTGACAAGGCTTAATCTTGCACTTTTGCTTAATATGTAACTGACAAATCTAGATCATTTCGTTGTTTTGTATGACCTCGAGTGAAGCATGACCGGACTAAGCCAAGCTTTTAGTAAATGGTGGAGTGGTTATGAAGCTATCTCTTGGATTCATAAGGGGAGATTTGCGTTTTAATAGAGGAGTATTGTGGTACATTTGTCTGAACATTTGTTGTCAAGTGGAGCATCAAATTATGGTCTGATTCTTTAATTTAGCCTTTTTTCATACCGAAAGCTTACTTCTCTTCCCTACTTTTCTGTTACGAACACTTTAAACCACCTTCCCCTATTGAGAATAGATCACATAAATGCTATTTCCGAGCAGATCGTGGGCTTAAGTAGCGTGTACCTCCAGGTTTGAATGCCAATCTGCGTGTGACCCTCCACGCCGCCACTATCTGGGTCTAGCAAAATATGCGTGCGTACGTGTGGGTGCGTGTGCGCACCAATTCATCTGCTGTCTCCGACGTGTGTGTGTGTTTACACACCAGTGCATTCGGTGCGCACGTTGCTGCAGTTGGCATTAGTTACGGTGCGCACGTGCGTGAAGGGTAGGAGCACGCATGCACACGCCTCATCGCAGCACCTGTGCATGCGTGTGTGCACGTCTCCCTGTGTGATCGTCTGATTGGTCGTCTAGTTGTACGCATGTGATTCGCTTCAAGTTGAAAAATCGATAATACGCAAATCAGCAAAACTACCATCCGAGGTGGAGGCGTTTATGACAGAACAAAATTTGGTCGAGATTGAATATTTCAGTGGAGTGGGGAAGTGCTTAGCTTTGGCACGGCAGTTAATCCCATTGGACTACTGTTAACTGTGGGACGTTGTCACGCCCCCTCCCCTCCTCGTCGATAATAATGATCTTTTTTAAAGGCAAATTAAGTTAACTTTCAGTTAGGTGTTCATACCTGATGTTCTTTGGTTTCATGTCGAGTGGATGACAATCGTTAATCGGTTGAGGTAGAAAATCTCAGTGATTACTTAGAAGCCAAGATGACTACTATCGAGAGCTTTTAAGAAGGTTCAGTAGCATTCACAACACTGAATTTCACAACTCAGTTACTACTACGTAAGAGAGTCAATCAGCAGTCCCGACGTGATCCGTGGTCTTCCACGAAATTCGTCTGTTGGGATCACGATAATCAGTGAAACTATGTAATTCTAGTCCAGCGATGCGACTTACATTTGTAATGTGAAGTTTCGCCATGTCTCTTGACTAAAGTCTGTTCTAAGGCTCTATGCATGTGATAGTTTGCGGTAATCACTTTAAAACCAGTTATCTATCGTTTGAGATGTGTCTGCGGCAATTCAAAGTCAACTCAACACTTCATAACGGCACATCCTCCTATCCCATTCTAATTTATTTGACCATGAAGTCAACCAAAGCGTATCCTTCTTTTTCAGCCACATGCCGGTCCCATGCAGCATGCGGCTTCTTGGAGGTGCTAATGATTTCCACGTAACCAGTCTTGCACTCTCTCCTGATTCCGAGTCCTTTGCCACCCTCTGTGAAGACGCGTAAGCGTAGAATCATGTCACTGAATCGTAAAATTTTTTGGCGTTCACACTCCTTTTAACTATGCATAGGAAACTGCATATTTGGTCTATCTCACCCGCCCAAGAATCTTACATTTTGGCTCAGTGGAGGGAATTTAACCGCCTAACACTTCGGGAAAGAACCCTTGTCTTCAGTCCCTGCGGCCGCCTCCTAGCTTGCTCGTGAGTTGACAAAAGCCTCTCTTTTTTCAATCAAGTCCGTAAAGCTCTCACCGAGGATGAACGATGGGGCTGAAGCTGTCGCTGATTGGACTTTGGCCTGCCACATGAATCATTAAAGCCGAAATGATTCATCAACTCTCCTTTAGGATGCAATTTTGAATGGGATAAGCTTTTATTGTCAAATATTAGCTAATTTTGACAGACTTGGCCTTGAGGATGATCCTTTGAGTGCTTTTTTATTCAGTATTCCAAAACTTGAATTTTTTCTACGATGTGGTCAACACTGCTAGCTATGCTTGCATTTGTAGTTTACCCCTGCCTTCCTTTCGTAGTGGTTCCTTCCACTTGCTCCCAATGCATTTCAACAAATGCAGAGCACTCGGAAGTGCATACTGGATTATCATTTTGGGTCTTACTTTTTCATCAGGAAGTAAAAGCTCCCTGCAATTCGCACTGTAGTATTCAGATCTCACGGACTAAGAACTGGTGCTCTTAGAAATGTCTACAGATTTTTTTTTTTGAATGTAGAAGCGAAGACTATGCGCTTGTGGCCTGTCAATAAGATTAAACAGGCGAATTTGCATAAAGTGCTAGGCTCTCTCAGTTGGCAAATCCGTTCATTTTCACATCAGGGCAACCAGAAATCTGTCAGAAACTCAGCTTAAATATCATCTTCGAGAACGCTATTAGGAAGTTGAAATAGTGACAACATTGCTCAAATTAGCTTCCCACCATTGCTATGGTCACCGGTTGTTAAACCATTTGCATAGCGGTGAAAGATGGAACGTTTGGTGCATTCCATAAATCTGCCATTCAAGTGGTGATCACGAGACCCACACTAATAGCACATGACTTTTTCTTCCCAATTCCACGTAGAACTTTTGTTTGAGATTTTAGTCCCAGTCAACATTTGAGCTCAGTCTCCAGACTTGCCACTCCTGATCATGTGAGACACGTCTTGGAGTTTACCTAGATCGAGAAGTTTGCCGTGGAACCTAAACATGTCTCCTACCAACGCAGACATCAGCAGAATGTTCTGCGGCTTTGGAACTTCTTGATTACCATCATCCCACTTTCTGCTAGAATAAGTTCACATTGCCATCCACTCACGCTTTTTAGCATCCTCCTAATGCCAGTCATGAGTTCTGGGTGTCATCATTTAGTTTGTTTACCTTAAACTAGGTGCTTTTACTGTTAACAATGCTCTCTTTGAGGCCACACGTTGGGCTGAACATACCAGAACTTGTGTGTTTCACAAGACAACTCACAACAGTAGATACTTTGCTGAAAATAGGTTTTTGAAAAACATCCAATAGGTCACACGTCCAGTGAACTTAGTCGACAAGGCCACTGCTGGAGACCCAGACTGACCCAATGTGGTTCGCTCTACCGCCACACTATGCAACCAAACGCCGTACCAGCAACTTTTTTGCTACTAGATAGTATCAAAACTTAATCTCTAGCTCTCGCTTTGCCACTCCACTTTTTGCACTATACAGCTACTCGTTTTGATCTAACAATCACTTTAATATGTCATTTTGCGGTGTGCACAGTGTTGGCTTTTGTACAGCCTCGGTCACTTCGATGGCTTGGTTGTGCGTTGAACCCAACTTGGTGGGTTACAGCGTGTCTGACTATTGTAATGCAGAATGCTTTGAAGCCCATTTGTGTCAGCCATTGTGACAGGCGGTTCACTTCTGCACTCACGACGCCATAGAGCTGGCGAGTGCCTTCTATTGCAGCTGAGCGTTCCTATGCCGCAATGATCTCCCTAAAAATGTATTCACTTGTGTGTTTTAGTTTTTCATTCAATAGAAAGACTCGGTTGTCATCATTTCCCTCGGACTCTGTAATGAGCGCTTTTTGTATGCAAATTGCTTCTCGAGGTAGCAATTGCAGGTGGTGGGACGTACTGGGTCTTCAGGCACTCTTGGATTGCATCCACTCCGATTTCTATAATAGTAGAGAGGGAGAGAGTCGGTCTGTGAGCTGGTCTTAAAAGCTTCACCCATTTAGAGTCTAGTGTAACTTATCAACTCTAGATTAAGGTAGTCGCTGTACATTGACTGGTTTCAAACTACCTCTTGCAGACACACTTACTTGTCTCTGTCGTTTCTGGGAGGCTAGTAATGCATTCTACTCCAGCGATTTTGTTTGTCTACAGCCTCGGTGACCGTAGCCTCCGACTGTGGAGCCAGACAGCATGCGTACAAAGCAGTTTGGTGGGACTCTGTGTGGCGAGCATTCGACGTCATGTGGTGTCGAGTCTTCTCACCACCTCCAGGACTCCTGAAGTTAACGATCAGGACAGGACATTTTCAGCTCTCGCCTCACTGCCGCTTCCGCAGCCTCTGCGTCTCCTCCTTTGTCATGGTTTGGAGGCCTGTGCTAAGATTTGCTAGAACTTATTTTGCTGCTCAAGTAGCCTCTCCTTTCGTTGGCCTTCATCTTTGACTCTCGCTTTTACTTCTCCTGTATCTTTGATCTCTTAAGTTACTGTTTCTAAACAAAACAATATTTTATTATGTTTTAATTGTCCTTGCTGCTATGCTAATGCGAAGAGAACCCTTTTAGACGCTGAAATGGCAAACAACTAGATTTTGTTTAAAAATCAGGTTGTAAGAATAATGGATGGCGAATGGACATGGAACTCTGCGAACACATCACTGTGGAAGTGACAATTTCCCCGATTGAGCGAAATATTTCAGCTCTGGCTATGACATTTTTGTTTTCTCACTGCGATTTTGATCTTAATTTATGCTGCCAGCTCCGTACCCATTGCCATCTCATCAAGACACTGGAAGGTTGAATTCCCGGTGGAGTAAGAACATGGGATAGCATAGCACCCATTTTATCAAACTTGCCTTTGAAATACTCAACACATTCAGTCTTTTTGTCTGGCAATTTGCCGAATCTATCGCATCCTGTCATCCTGTTCGCATTCCACAGACGGTTGATAAGTTGCTATTGAAATTAGGTGCAATAAGCTCCGTCTGGTGGTAGTCTTTTCAACAGATTGAACCCCGTCACGGATCTCTTGAACACACTCATTTGAGTCGGCAATTTGACTTGACTAAATTGATTCGATACAACTCAGATCATCGAGGTTGATGGGTAGTTAAAGGGATTCGGCTGCTGTCTTTGGCGAAACCCGACACACATTTGAAGAAATTACTTGAATTCTGGATTCAGAGCCACTTAAGTCATTTCATGTTTCTTTTTTGCTACCTCATGAAACATTCATTCGATGAATACGTCTCTTCTAAAACGAACTTAATGGCAGTTGGTTAGAGAGTAGTGGATGCAGGAGTTGTTCGACCAGCAACTACGCAAGCTACTCATTCAAAAGGTGCTTGAAGTAGTTTTTCTCACTAAGCTAAACTAGTGATGAATGCTGCCAACACAGTTTCACGACAGGAGAGAGGGTCACCTACTCTGCTTGCTGTTTCAGTGTCTGATAGGAGGCAAGCAACTTTACTCTGTTGGGATACTTTGTAGGCAAAACAGCCTGATAGATCGGCTAATACAGAATCTTCGGGCTCATTTTGAAGTAAGCAGGATGGATTGACTCAGGCGACTTCTGACCACTTCATTCACACTTCTCTCCACTGAGACAGTTAACTCCTACTTAGTTCTACACTCCATTGGCCTCATTTTCTCGAACAAACATCGCGTGTTGGGAAACCAATTTTATCAGCCCCTACTTCAAGAGGAGAATTATGAGAGGGATTGTGACAAATCTGCAAATAGGCTAGTGGAGGCCTGCATTAGGGTAACAGTAAACGCCATAAAGACAAGTTATTGTGAGCAAACCTAAAATGTGAGGTTTATTGCAGCCTAATAAGAACTACAAGTGCAGTTCCGTAGTATGACTTGGTAATTATCTTTATGGCAAATTTGTATCACCTCGATGCCTTTCCTCAACCAGATCCTACGTTCTAGTTTGTCTTCTCTACTCAGTAAGGACTGTCTTTATGGAATTTTAGATTTGATATTTTAAGAGCGCAAAACCATCCATCCGGCACACTCAATCGTCGAAACACTTGGGCTTTTACCTTCCCTTACAATGATGGGGGAAGACAAACGGTAACGCACCCGCTGCAAAAATAAACAGGCTCATTTGTGAGCTACCCAATGCTCCAACAATGTGGAATACCTCCCTCTGACCCGTTCCAATCAACGTAGTGTGCTTATCAACCATCCCGGTGACAAATCAGTCGTCACCTCATCGACGATTCCTTCAATGATTAGGTGCTATCTATCCACTTTATTCGGGTACGTTCGGATGATGCATGCGTTCATTACCTCACCTGGGAAATCCATTCTCATTGTACGTAAACCACCATCCTTAACCGCCATTGCAATTCTGTTTTCGTTGTGTTCACGGTCCCAACATTTCACCAGCCCCTCACCCCGATGAAGTCACCAGCCCGCAGTTCATCCACCACTCCTTCAATTAGGACCCACCCATGATCCCCGCAGCAGAGTCCATGCGAACACTCATTAAGCTGTATAGGTTTATTTTTTTCTCAACAATCATTTCTCAATGCAATATAATTCAAAAGGAGACTGAAACAGACATTCGTCAAGCGGAACAACACTCGCAATCGACAAAACGAAAGTAGGGCAGAAATGTTTGTACAGGAAGGAATTAATACATGATCACACTTCACATGCCAAAGTATGCGCTTTATTGTTCTCTTGATCTTTCACTCCAATCGGTAATGTGGGTAAATGGTTGGCCAGATTCGTACTGCTGATACATACGCTCGTACAGGAGTTCCAAATCGGCGGTATACCGCCGGCAGTTGAACAGAGGCGAAGTTTCTCTCAATTTCCACACCTAAATAAGAGGACCAAATTATCACAAACAAGAAAAAAACATTACCTTAGCTCTGATGGCATGCAAATATTCGCGATTATTGCCCAGCTTGGATGCTATTCGAACGTAGTCCTCAGCCGACTTGGCAACTAGCTCCGGACAGCCTAAGCAATAGAGCTGACTAGCAGCCACCCGACTTGCTAGGGTTTCAAGAGGAAGAGTCACCACTGGACACCCAGCCCAAAGCACGTCCATGCCCGTTGTGTGACCATTGCAAAGTGGTGTGTCAAGGCAGACATCAGCAACTTGCCCACGACGCACGTGTTCTTCCTTCGGAGCAACATTGCTGAAGATGATACGGCGGTGCGGGTTTTGAAGACCAAAGTCAGCAGCAGCAGTCATGACATTTGCTTCACCAGCTGCTGGGAAACGCAACAACCAGAGAACCGAGTTAGGAACCAATTTTAAAATCTCCACCCACATCTTCATCGTTGGTGGGTCGATCTTATAGAGTTGGTTAAAGTTGCAGAATACAACTGCATCCTCTGGCAGCCCATAGTGTTGCCGCGAGGTAATGATAATGCTTGCTGGAATCTCTTCACCTGCTGAAGCCCGAGACTGAGTTTGTTGTGTTGTAAACCCATTTTGCAAAACTACGCTATTCAGCGTGCATGATGCTGCGTTGACTCTTATCATTTCTCTAATAGGCTGTAATGATGGGACCGTGAGAATTTGAATCTTGATATAATGCGGAATCTCCTTGATGGCAGGACCACTTGGCTCAGCAACTCGACCGCCGTAGATCATCTCCCTCATCGTGCCCACAGAAAGCAGAGGCTTAATATCAGTTCCGCAAGCAACCATTGAAGTGTCGCTTGTTCTGAGACCTCCCGCCACTTCCTCAGCACTTTCGATAATAATGCGATTTCGCATGTGCGGAAACATCTGCGCATGATCACCAATAAAGAAGGTCTTGGGCATGTAAGCTAGCTTTTCTGAATACTGCTCTGCCAAATGTAGTGGCGAGGTGACACTGTCCGTTATTATGAAATCCATGAAAGGCGACCCACTGGTGCCGGGATAACCTAACCACATAGCCTGTACTGGAGCAGGCTTAAGGGCAAAGATCTCGTTCCTAGCACCTTTGGTATACCCATTCATGTTAAGAAGAATGTGGATCCCGTCACTTGCAATCCGATCCGCGGCCTTTCCGTGGCATGCAATGGTGCTTAGGTCAACAAAGTGTTCAGCTTCGCGATTCACCTTAGCTCTGAAAGTTGTGCCATCGTCAGGAGAGAGAGAGTAGCAGAATATTTCAAATCGTGAGCGATCATGAAACCCAGGCACACTCTGCATTAGGTGGCTCGTCGGATGATTGCAGAAATCTGAGCTGACATACCCAATACGAAGACGTTGGTTAGATTGCCGCTTCATGAAACGGAAAGGTGGATGATGCAAAATGGCCACCTTTTCTAGACACAAAGCAGCATGTTTACCTGCAACCCGCCTTCTCTGTGCATGACTAAACGGGTAGAGCATGGAGTGATGAGGATGTACGGAGGGCAAACGGTTCGAATCCAACTGCTCTTGAACAATGCTCACCAGTTTCTTCATTCTCTCCTTATAGTCACTCCAGTCACACACGATCTGCATACAATGCGCCAAGTTGCAGAACGCATCCGGAAAATTTGGCTTCAGCTTCAAGGCCGTCTTGTAAGAGTTGATGGCCTCCGCCAAATTTCCGCCGTCTTTCATAATACTGGCTAAGTTCGAATGGGCATCTGCAAAGGCTGGGTTGATCTGAATAGCCCGCTGGTAACATTGCATTGCACCGCTAACATCTTGCAGCTCTTTCAAAGTATTACCCATATTCGAGTAGGCGTCTGCGAAAGTCGGAGAGATTCTGATGGCCTCGCGGTAGTGACGAAGAGCCTCCTGCAATTTGCCCTGCAGCTGTAGCATACTAGCCAGATTGGAGTGCGCTACGGCAAAGTCGGGATATACTTCCAGAGCCCTTAGGTACAGTCGAATTGCCTCCTCAGAGCGACCTTGTTCTCGCTTTATGTTGGCAAGATTGTTAAGCGAATCAGCATGGGAAGGATAGAGACTGAGTGCGGTGTTGTAGTACTCCTCTGCCTCCGACACTTTACCCTTTTCCTTCAAGGCGTTTGCCAAGTTACAGTAAGCATCAGGGAAATTGGGTTGGAGGTCAATCGCTCGCCTGTATGTATCTATCGCCAGGTCGATAAGGTTCTGTTCGTAGTAGACACAAGCAAGATTCCCATGTACTACAGCGTGATTCGGAGCTAAAGTGAGAGCTCTGAGATATGCTGCTACTGCACGATCGAAAATTCTTGCCTCCTTAAGAACGTTTCCCAGATTTATGTATGCATCAAGAAATGATGGATCCAGAGTTACCGCCTAAAGTGGAAAATCGAAAAGAGTACAGCTTACCTTCTCGAAATGGTGAATAGCAAGCCATATTTCGTTTTGGGCATTAAAAACGCAACCTAAGTTGCTCCAAGCAACCGCAAACGTTGGGCAGGTTTCGATGGCCTTCAGATAGCACGACTAAACGAAAAGAAAGTAAGAGGAAATTATTGGAGGCCGGTGACACAAGGCACGCTTATGCATGCCTAGAATGGCCCTGAGCGTGGAGGAGTGATCTTCACGGTTCCAAAAAGGAACACTCAGGTGAAGACACGCAGTGTGAAATGGACAGGTGCATCGCGCTTAAGCGAAAGCGGATACACGCGCGCAGCAAACTCACGACTTCAATAGGTCACTTCCGCGATCACCTTCACCGTGTAGATTCTCACCTTTGCTGTTTAAACGGAGAAAATCTGACGAATTAGTTCTTGTCTACAAGTGTGATGCTAGAAACCTAAACCTTGACTGGACTGGTTATGCGCAATGGCACAAGTGCCGCAGAGGGTGTCCAGTCAAGCGCGAAGGCCACTGCACAAACCCACTTCAAAACTCTTACTTTGGCCTCATCTAGTCGACCAAGGGCCTTGAGAAGATTTCCTAGATCGCTCCGCACGCAGTACAAATCCTGACAAAATCATCTTATGGCATACAAATAATGACTTACCGGGTTGTACTGCAAAGCTGTTGCGTAGGCACTAACAGCAGATTCCGTATCGCCGAAAGCCACCAAAGCCGCAGCCAAATTGATGTATCCATCAATGAAATCGGGCTTAATGTTTAAAGCGTGGCGATAGTTGTCGATAGCTTCTTTCAGTTGTCCACGCTCCTTAAAAACATTACCCAAATTGGAATAAGCTTCTGCCATCAACGGATTTTGTTTAATGGCGAGTTGACTGAAGTATGCTGATTTGTCCATACGACGACATTGAAAGTGAATTGAGCTCAAAAGAAGGAGTGTAGACGTATTTTCTGGCTCTTGATGCCACACCTGCATGCAGTGATGCTCTGCTAGTTCGTAGTTGCCAGCCTGATATTCCCTGTGAGCGAGGTCAGCCAAAGCTGAAAGAGCAGCTCGATCATGCGGTATCATCCCTCGAATCCGCGGGGAATCCCCCAAATGCGCTAAAGTATGCCTATCCAGCATCTGGTTACGCGAGCCCAGTGCTAACAAATGACACGAAACCGGGTTAGTTCATTAAAACCTTGACAGAGAAAGAAACAAAAACTAAAAAATATCAAGGCATTTTATGCATATTACATTCTTAAAGTTACGACGATAACAAATTGAAAGATATATAGCCAAAAGAGGAATTTTTTAAAGTTGAAAATTAGTGTCATCAAAATCCAAAATCAATATTTGAAACATGAAATCGTGGGTTTGAAATTAATTATTATTGGCCTTAGCATAGTGTTACATTTTGGTGCTTCGACTAGGTAGAAGAGGGCATTTGGTTAGAAAGAATACATGTGTTCAAGGAGAAATGGTGTGAGATGGGGCTTTGGCTTGATCCAAGGATAAGCCAACGCGACGGCTAGTCATGCGGGTAGCTCTCAACGCTCTCCACCGTGAGCCGCCTGTTCCAGCTCGCACAACATGATTGGTGCTGCAAGTAAACACTCACGAACCGGTCGGGCCAGCCCTTGGCGCCTACGCCATCGGTGAGCTGCATTCGGCCTTCTCAACAGCTTTGATGACTAAAGAGGGCATAAGATAAAAAGTTGTGCTGTAATATTCTGTTTATTTTATCAATAGGGTGTCATCCTGCCCCTGTTTTCATGGGCTGGACTTTTGATTAATCCAATGCCTTATCTCTCTCCTTTCTCTTGAATACTTATTTGCCGTCCTACTTAATGTCTTCTACAGAATTGGAACTCGCGGGACACTACAACAGTGACAGTGGAAAAAGACACGCCTTTGATATTACTTTTATTCTTCTTTCCATCGTTTGTGATTAACTTCTATGCTGTGGATGAAGTGCTAGCCTTAAACAGAAGAAGAAAAACTTTCTATAATAGAATAGCTGAGAACAGTATTTCGATTGGCATCCCCCCATCCTTATGTACCACTGGCAAGTTATTCACAATCGAAGCGCATATGGGTGTCGAGTATGATGGCATACAAGAACAACTTATATGGGGGGCGTGTTTGATCCCGTTTCCCCTTATTCTCACCCGCTTCAGACCAGATCAAAAATGCCTCATCATAGATACAATAAATGACTACCAGAATTTCACGGCTCTTAGTCCTGCTCCTACGCATAATGTAACTCCAGTTTCAGTTGAAAATGCTAAGAACGCCAAGTGCAACTCCTCATCTCATGGTAGCCAATGGCTCGTGCGGCTGGTTTGTAAATATTTCCTTGGAGCAATGAAGGCGGTGTGATAACTGGCGGGAGAAATGTATTTAAGAATTCACCAGAGAGGTTGCTAAGATTAGGTGGGGGCGATGTATCACTTTGTTTATTTGACTACATGTATCACTGGCGGTCACTCTGACACTTATCTTGCATTTGTCTGCATTGGCTGACCTCCTAAATGCATTCTTCTACCTTACGAGAAGTCTCGAGAGGCTACAATTACATTGCCCTTTCTTCTGAACAACATCTTCGACCCCTCCCTTAATGCATCCCTCGAATTAGTCATCAGATTTTATTTAGTACTGCAACAACTAGGCAGCCGCGTTGATTCCTTCTCATCCACTTCCTCCGGTCGGAGGACGGGATTCGGAAAGAATGATTTCTGTTGACCATCAATTGTGTCCAGCTCTAGGCGTTGGTACGCTGGTCTAAATCAGATTATTGGTAGTGAAAACGGGATCAAACAGTCTTGTAGGAAAAGAGATTCTATTTAGCATCCAGTTAAACACTTATATGCGGTAAGACGAATTCCTATACGAAACTTTTCCTGATGTTTTGAGGCAGTGTTGCTTCAGTTGTTAAAAGCTTGCCTTTGGGACGCAGGAACGAGGCAGAGCCAAATGCATACGCCATTCAGTGCGATTGCCTCGCACTGCAGAAGTGTGTCACGAAGTGATAACGACTTTGGTTTCGCTTTCCTCTCCCATTAATGTAACGTCCTGGGATTTTCCACTAGGTAGACGATGGCATTTGGTGGGACTGAATGCATGCTTTCAAGGAGAAAATGGGAGAGGTTGGGCTTCGGCTTGACTCGAAGCCCATTTCAAAGAGACAAAATCACGATAAATACCAGTGCGGCCGCCAATTATTTACTTGGGCGGACAACTTGTTTTTGTTGGGCTGACTGACCGTTGGGCTTTGCAAAAAGCTCCACTCCCACATTTTCAGCAATGGGAGGTCTCAGAAAGTTTTTAATAAGTGAGAGGCAATCGTACATTTGTAGTCCTTTTAGACTAAATCAATTTCCTGTTCGACCGATTTAGGAAAACATGTATCGCATAAATTAGTCCTTTAGTTAAAAAAGGAATAATTTATGGCTTCTCCATCACTGTCATTCATCTCTCTCCTAACTGCCGCCTCAGGAGGCTGTCTACTATTGTTAGCTCCAAATAAGCAACTGAGCAGGCGATGAAAAGTGCAATAAAAAGATAGGAGTGTGGTGTCCATCAGGATTCCGGCTTGAGTTCCGCCTCTCGCCCATAAGGCCCATTTTAAGCGACTAATATGCCTGACACAAATTTTTGAATAATTGATAAAAATTGCTAGAAAATATAGCGTGGACGCAAAGAAGGAAGTAGGCACTAAAAGCTTGCACCGTAATACAAGGCTTAGAGAGAATGGTTTTCGTGAAGTGAAAAAAATGTCTAAAATAATGCATTCCTTATAGCTCGAATAACCCATCCGTTCGACTGTGAGTAGAAGTGGAAGGGACCCGGGCGGTGGCGTTGCTTTGTACGTGTGGTTTGCCTTTGGGAAATGTCAGAAGACAAATTTTCCTTTGTTCAACTATGTGTGTCCAACCAAGCCATATGCCTTATGGAATCTATGTAGAAATTTTGGAGCACCAAACAGATTGCAGTGGGAAGCGGTGCCGACGTTGAAAATCGCCATTTATGGCATAAAGGAAGGAATGGGAATGGCGGCGTCCAGCTCATTCGCATGTTCTAAAGGCAAGATTTACGTATAAGAATTTACTCATTTATACGCTTCTACAGGTGCCGTTCTGTGACACTACTTTAAACTCCATCTGCATGAAATTCTCATACCCCGTACTCTAGTTCACTACTCTGTTCAGACGCTTAGTCCTGAAGAGATGATGAGCAAGAAAATCTCCATTCTTGGCAAAACTCCATGTCCATTTGAAGCTTATAGAGGAGAATAGTGAAGTTATTTAATTTTTTGGCAGGGATAGATTGTTTTGAGAGTTTTTCGGAGAGTACATATTTGTACTGGAGGGACATTTCTGCTGACACCATTACCATATAAGAGACTCAGGTTCGCTCAATTCGACCAAGAAGAGTTAAAATAAGATCTTTTTATCGGAACACATCGAATATGCTGAGAAACGTTCCCTGAGTTCACCTCGATTGCGCTATGGTCGAGGCATCGCGGAGTATAAACACTAAATTGTTGATTTGCTTTACGACACTAGCAACAGGAGCGCTGTACAAGCATGATCCTGTGGAGCTGTGCACGTCAGGACGTGAAAGTGAATGAGCCACCCTTTTCTACTTTCTTCCAAATGACTCATCCATTTCTCCAAATCCCAACACTTTTTGCCTCCTTTCCCACTAGTACATTCAGGACCAGCGCTCTTGCTCACAGACTAGTTTTTGTTTTGTTCAAATTCGTCAATTTTGACCCATAGCAAGCAATTTGTAGTCATACATGTGGTCTCTCAACCCTTTTTTCCCTGGATTCTTCCCTCTGACTTCATAGAAGAAGGTTTAACCTGTGGGAAGGACCAAATATGAGCAGAGGAAATCTATAACGACCACTGAGAATTGACTACGCGCCTCAAACACAGCATCCCAACTGAATTGCCGCCTCTCACACCAAGGACGCTTTAAACTTTCAATAGGCGTCACACTTCTCAATGCTGAAACATGATTTCCCGATGTCGACAATTGCAGGGATGTTGAGCCTCCTACGGTGCACAACAAGCAGCACCGGCCAAGCAGGACCGCCGGTCTTCTTGATCATAGTGCATAAAGATAAACGCTTGAAATAACCACAGACCGAATTCCCGTCACGATCGTAAGTCACGGTCGTCCATGCTTATTTCTGAGGACTAAGAGACATCTACTTGACGGCGACGACCGAAGTCCTGCTCCTCGATGGCATGCCAGGCCTCAGTGGTCGGACAGACTTCCCTACTTGCTTTCGCAAAATAAACTTAAGAACACGGCACTACATGCCTAATGGCACAGATTCCCCGCCTGACAACGCTGCTTCCAGCTCCGTTTAAAAATCGTTGATACCTGGAAAGGAAGGCAACTCACACAACGACGATTCACACAAACAGTGAACACTACACTACGCATCCAATTGGACAGCGAAAGATACTGAGCTAAAGAATAATCGCATTAGCCTATCCTAAACCATGTTTTTATTAGTCATATAGACTGAGAACCCATAGCATGATGACTGCATCGTGCACACCACTAGCACGTTTCTCAAATTCGACCTCAAGACATGCACGACCAGACGTTTTAGTGGTGCTAGTAATGCTAGCATGCGGATATGACAACCGGAACAACTGTTTCACACCATCTCCAATACAGGGGAGACAAGTCCCTCATCCTAGACTCCGTGAACTCGCTGTCATCACAATGATAATTGAGCAGAGCTCACACTAAGAGTCAAGTTGACTGCAGCAAAGGCAAGTACATTACCAGAAGAAGGTGCACACCGACACCGATCTTGGATGCATACAAAGGAAACCCTGAGACTGAAAATCGCCATTCCTCGACATAAAACCAGACCCAATGAGTCCAGACCGATACAAGTAGCCATGGTCAAGACGTCTTAAAGAAAGCGAATTTGGTACATTCAACAATGTTTATAGGTATCATAATTAATCACAACGCCGAAACAACAGCACGTACACCTCCACAGATGTTTGAGAACCGATTTAATAGAAAAATCTGAAGAGAAAAAAGTATCTTGATTAAGTTCTCAGAGTAACTATGTAACTCGCATAAGTGCGTGATAGACATTGGTAGCCAACATCAGCTCACAATGCGACGAAGAGTATCATCACAACAACAGTGTTAAAGCTTACCCAAAATCCTCACACGATACTACTCACACGCGACACGAGCCAAACCACGCCACAAAACTCACCAGAACAACTAAAACCGAAACCCGCGTCATTGTACTTGAACAATACAAAAAAGCGTATACATTTCACAAATATTTTTTTCTCAATGATATGCCAATTATTGCCTTTTAAAAATAGCTATCGAAAACATTAATTAACGAAAAGCTTGTAAGCGTGTCTATCATTAAAATGAACAGAAGTTAGCATGTGATTTGCAATCTATTGTTGGATATCCAACTCTGTGCTCCAGCGCCCTGAGACTTCTCAATAGGCAAAAGAAGATATCAGGCTGAAACTGGTTATATACATTCTAGGGGGAAGAAAAGGAAGTAGGATTTGGCTTGGACAGAGGACCAGGTAACGCGTATACGGGCAAGAACGATGCAGTAACCACGAGGCAACCGCTCCACTTGACAGTTACAATGGGACTGAGGAACTGTACTTATTTTTTTGCAGCTTCAAATGGACGAGGAGGTACATTCGGTCTGACAACCGGATTCGGGGCTGCATACATCCTTTGACCATCGATTGCTTCCAGGACTAGACGGTTAACCAATGGACTATGCACGGATTTTTAAAGGAAACTTAGGCACGAAATTAATACAGATAGTTCATGACGGTCGCTTCAGTTTTTGATAGCTTGCCTGTGGAACACGGGGATAAGGTGAAGCCATCTGCAGGCGTCGGTCCCAGCCCTATCTTGTGACGTATTTTGAGGTTCTCCCTGTAATGCTTTGTTTATGCGACCATCTGACGGTTGGCGGTCATTTTAGGACTTGTCTGGGCCCTGTACACGTGGGCTGGCCTTCGGGCCACGCTCAGGCCCCATTTCTCCTAATGCTTTCGGAATACATGTATTCAACCCCACTTATGTCTTCTACTACCCCATTTGGAGCCTCGGGGCGCTACACTCCCGCCACCAAAGTTAATTTACCTCCTCCACACCGTAAGTACATGCAACAACTGATACGTCGCCACAACTGTGGCTTTCCGAGAGCAAAGTAACTAGGCCTGAGCATGGCCTGAAGGCCAGCTCACGCGCACAAGGACCAGACGGATCTTAAAGTAACCGTCAAGTGCCAAATAGTTACAAAACGAAGAATTACGACATTAACAAAGTATTACGCTAGGCCTGGCTCCTTACAAGTGCCATCCTTTGAGCTGCTCTAGGTATACCAATCACACTAGCCATCATAATTTATCCCGTGCTACTAGGCAACACACATTGTGGCATTTACTACTGTGGGGACAAAGGTCAGTTGCACGGGACGGAAGATAGTCTAATTTCCTTATAAGAGAGTGGCTGTAAACCATGCCTGCGTTCGAATCCACACTGCCGTCATGCTTCACAGACAAGATTTGGGCAGCCGAAGAGATACAGTCATACTCCAACTGAAATATTTAATAATGGAATTCTCCTAACTACATCCAAGTATAGATGTTGGAAACGATACTACAGCAAATGTCCTTCCATATCGGACTGCTTGATCGTGACTTTGTTGGACTTAGTTGTGAACATTATTGTTGATCAACAGAAATCTGTTACTACGTTTTCTGCCCCCAGACCGAAGAAAAATTGGTTAGACTGAAGAGGATTTTGAGGTTCTCTTGGTAGCTGATGGTCGGAGGGGCTGGTCTATTGGTGCTGTGCCGTTCTGAGACTTCCTATGGTGGAAGAAGGCAGTAAACCAGGCTAAGTACAGGTGTTCTGGAGAGAACAGAGCAGATAAACATGAGCATGGCCCAAAGACCAGCCTACGATTACACGGACCAGACAAGTCCTAAAGGGACTGCCAAACGTCAGGCAGTTACATCAACAAAGCACTACAAGTGCTTTTTTGCAGTGCTGAATACTTTGTGTTGGCATATTGAATGATAGATAGCAGCACAAGCAATAATTCCACTATCAATCGTAAACTTTTTTAGTTAATGTTGACATTTGCGGCATTGTTTGAGTCTGGAGTTTATCGATCAACTGCATGCCGGTCTAATCCTATAAGAATGTCTACAAAAGCTTTGCTCAGGTATTTTGACAAATTTTTTATAATCAGCAATATTGCGAAAAGTTTTGAGTAGTCCTTATCCATTGTAGGAATCTTTGGCTGTGACATCACATAAAGACACTCTACTCATAGATGTTCGTTATTTTTTGCAGTCTTTTGCTTTCATTATTTCGTGGTTTTCCATTGATTGCCGAATTTTAAAATTATTGGTTGATTGCCTTCCTACCCTTGATTGGTGGAGTTCTTTTGTAAACCTTATAGCCCATAAGGTTATTTGAACTCTTACGTTGTGGCGTGCTTGCTGTACATGTTCCATATAATTCAATTAAATAATGCCCAAGAAGAAAGCTACGAAGAAAAGTAGTCCCCATATATTTTTTTACGTGGCTAGGTATCGTTCCCGAAGGAGTTTCCGATGATCTTAGTATCGCGAGTCAGTCCGTTGAGGGGAGTGATTCGGAGTCGTCGAGGGCCGACGTAAGTCCGGATTGATGGTGTCGTGTATGAGTGTGATATGCAGATATTTTATTACAAATGGTTGATGTTAGTGTGTCAACGTTTAGGCTCTGTTAGGGGTCCTTGCCTCACGTTAGCATGTAGTTTTATGCCCTGCCTTACGTCTAAACCTTTGCGCAAGTAAATATGTGAGAGGAAATTGTATTTGAAGTACCAGAGCTGTGTTCGATGTTATGTTTTAACGTATTTTGGTTATAGTCGTCCGACGATCCAACTGTATCGCTATTGGATAAAGTGGCGATGGCTATTGACTCACTTTCCGCAAGTCGTCCGGATCAACGAGTCCTCGTAATGCGATCTCTACGAGATGCATTCCGTGTAAATTACCTCGGTCTACCCACTTTACCCGAAAAATGGAACTATTATGAGACACTAATTTCAGGTTTGGACACTGCTATGAGGCGTGGTAAACCCGCAGAGGAGGTGGCAGCAGCTCAGTGTCTAAGCGTCTTTAGCACTCAACTTACGCCTTTTGAGAACCGATGTTTAGCCGAACAGTTCCAAAGTTTCATGGAATCGCGAATATGTGATCCCACGGAAAAGAATACATTTAGAAGTGCCTGCGCTACCACTCTGGGGTGGCTGCACTTTCTGAGCGATTCAAAGGACTTTCCTAGCATTAAGCGGCTGATGAACCTTCTGGAGGACATTTTCAGGGCCTCCTGTCTTAAAGGTGACGGGAAACCGCAGACACTTGAGGCGACGACGGTGGCACTGCATCGCGATTGCCTCCATGTCTGGTGCCTCCTCTACACCATCTTGCCTATCTCAGATGCAAATGATTTAGGCCAAGGTGTGATAAAGTCACTTGTTAGTCTTCTTCAGTCCAACTATCTGGATGTTCGACTTGCTGCCGGTGATGCAGTTGGTCTGATTTACGAGCGCATTCGTGATGAGTCGAAGAGTGACTTTAGGGGCCCATATTTCGGCATGCTGACTGAAGTTCTCGATCAGCTCGCCAATAATTCTGACAAGTCAACGTCGAAGGTCGATTCAAAGAAACAGCGTTCTAGCTTCCGCGACCTTCTAAACTTCTTGCGCTCCTACGAATTACCATCCGAACAGGTGGTGAAGTTACAGTCGGAGCGTCTGACCATTGACTCATTTTGTTTGGCCTTCCTCTATGACTCCTTCTGTCGTCTTATAGCAGTTGGTATGAATACGCACTTGCGCGAGAGTGAGCTGATGCGAACGGTCTTTGATTTGGGCCCGCCACCACTAAGAATACATCCTAGTCAGGCGGTGCGTGGGCAGAACAAAAAGGCTCGCCAATATGCAAACCAGCGTGCTTCAAAAGTTCGTACTCGACATCGGCAGAAGTCACGCGACCGGAGGGCTATATTGACCCAAGAGGAGTGCTGATGAATCCCCTGGGAGTATGACTTTATTGTTTCCTTAGTCATAACTTTTCTTAAACGTCTTCTTCGTACATGCTGTTATGCTAGTTTCTTATCATTTATGCTGAGCGCTTTTGGCATTACTAAGCCATTAGCATTGATGCTACATGTACGGGAGCCTACTTTTATTTAATTTCATATATTCATTTTGGCTTTTGCTTGGAGTTGGTCCAAGGTGTATTGTTCGTTTGTTCATCTAGGGCGCAGCGAATCCATGGGAGCATGATGCTGCCTGTTGTATCGTATCATTTGTTTCGAGGAGTGTGTGTTCTGGGTTACTCTACTTTTCATAGTTCGTTTGGTATTTGCCTTCCGCATTATTGATGTACCGCGTACGTGTTACGATGTCAACGGTTGCTACGTTGTTTTGCCACAAAACTAAATTGACCAAACATTTTGAGACCTTAATCCGAAATCACGTATTATCGGGGTCGATGAGGGGCTACCTCACAATTAATATTCTTGCAAAGTGTACATTACACTGTGCTAAAATCGTTGAAAATAGTGTTGTGTCGCCTCTGACTGAACATTGCTTGTACAGATCCTATGTGGCCAAGCAACATAGGAAAGGATTAAAAGATCAACTTCTCCGATATTCTTACTCGAAATGCAGCCTCATGTGTCTACGCTTAGGTAACCTACATTGTCAACAGAAGTGTAGCGTGATCTGGTCAAGTGAAGTCGTGGCATCACTCCACGTGATGGCATCACGCACATGATTGAGGTTAGCAACACCGAACATTGTGATTGTCATGGCTTTCCGAGTTCCAACAGGTGGAGACTCATTCATTTTAACTCTTAGGCGATTTTGAGATGCCAATCAAGTAGCAGTGAACGCATCAAATGTTGGAGGGGTTTACAAGGTCTGGAGTGGGTAGTAGGTATTCTCGAGTGTGTGGTCCGGCCTCTGGCTTCTTCTTGAACTCACACGAATCATCGTTTGCAGTTAAATTTTGATGAGCAGACACTGGCAGTGAACTTGCACAAAAGGTGAGATAGAGAAAGAGTGAAACTCATTAATTGCGAAAAGGAGTACAGTCACCTTAACTCAAATAACTCAATTAACGCCTATGTGAGGAGAGTAGATTCGATGACAGGTAGTTTTTTTTCTTTGTTACGTGTTGTTAAATTTGCTCCAATTTGCAGGACAGTGGACTGGGACAAAGCATAGTCAAAAGGGTATTTACCTCAATCTTCGCTATTTGCACTTCTCTCCTAGCAACATGACCTAAAAATGCTTCAAGTTACTACCTGGCCTTCCACACTGGATGGTCTGTTACAACTTCACGAAGGAAATGGAGCGGTGTATGACCCTGCAGCCAGTACATTACGTCAGTGTAAGGTAAGCAAGACAAGTTTAGGTTGTTGGCGATATGATCGCCATCAGGAGTGAAGGCTGCTTCTTGTGTGAGTCTCTTCCAACACAACCACGATGCGGTATTCTCAGGGAGAACGTGGTCGCCCTACCCAACATACCTGCTGACTGGCTTAAATCCAAATAAAATATTTAACTATAGAATCTTCCATTTGATACCTGTAAGTAGTCAGATGTTCAAGAACATGCAACAACTATTGCGATTTTTTCACTCTCCTCTTCCCTACAACTATGACTAGGACCAGAAATATGGTTGTTTTGGAGCGCCTTTATTACTCTCGAGAGAGCAGAGGGCATGATTGCGTGCAAAAATGGGGAGTACTGTCTTTTCTCCCTTCGAAACTGAGATTCGAAATGTTCTGGATCATTTAAGGAAGCTGATGATATGCTAAAATTTCAGTTTCTTGCAAGATTCCTGATAGTCTACATTAACTGAAATTTTCTGTCAGCACATGTCGCGCATCTGAAAAATGAACTGGCTGCTACTAAGAAGATAATACAAGTAAGTGGCGATCATTTAACCTAAAATTGAATTGAAAAAACTAACGAGTAAAAATCGAGCTTTTAGCGTCTTATTTCCCTGAAGTGGTACTGAAATCAAGCAGTTTGGGGTTCTTTCTGCCATAACAATAATACATTTTAGACATTGTCATGAAAGCTCCTATTTGCTGAAAGAGATTATTGAATGCGACTTCGACGTTTAGAGGTTTTTTTTTTTTTCTGGTCACCTCACGCGAACTCAAATGCTATCAACTCGTTGCGCTAAATGCCAAACCAGGTTGGCAGTCATTACCCAAGCATACACCATCAGAGTAATGGCACCGATGTCTCAAGGCACTGCTTGCCTCACCGTCTCCACCTCCACGCTGCCTCCACCTTCCTACCCTCCTCGCTTCCCTCATCCCTCTTCGCCTCTCTTCCCTCCATCACACCTTCTCGCGTCCCCCTCATCCACCTCTCTTCTCCTTCCAAATCTGCTACACCACATCGTCGCATGGGCACTTGTTATGCCTGCATCTCGACAGTCGTCGACTGCGCAGCCTGCGAAAGCGACGGTTTCAACTCCATCGAAGTGCTCACTGGAGAAGAGGAAAGAGCACGTCTATCACAATGGAAGCTTCTCACGCACACCTACCACATTGCATCCCGAAGGCGGATCTCCTGCGCAATTGCATGCTGACCTTCAGATGAGAGGCGATTTGCGTAAAATCACACGCAAAACCACAGCTCGAGAGTATTACAGCTTTTGGAGATTTAGGCTGATTAACCATCTTGAAGCGTTGGTTGAGAAGCAACTGGGTTGTTTACAAGCGTGAAGAAGATGTCCTTTCCCTTAGTGTTGTAATACCATCCCCATCCTGCGTTTCAAGCCGATCAGTCATGCATCATATCCAAATGTGGCGTTTTGAGAGCGTAGCTTGAAGAAGGAGAACGAAGGTGACCGCAGAAGTACGTGCTACTTAGGCGGCGAGCCATCAGAATCAATCTCCGCAGATAGCGATGCTAATGCATAGTCCCATCTTCAAAGTTGGCAGGAGTGAGTTATTGGCGCCTACATTTCCACCTATCCCATCCCTCATGCAAGTAACGAATGAAGATTTTGTCATTTTTTCACAATTCACCCCCTTCGAACACTACCGATCGCAGTTCTCGAAACTTCATTTTTGTGATTTGCAGATCAGGTATCAGTGAACAGTACAAAGTCAAGATCGGCTAACATTTCTCAAGATGAGAGCCAAATCTTTGCATCATCTTTCTTGTAGTTACTTCAGTCAAATACTCATCAGTGCCTTCTTCTTGCCCAAATGACGCCATTAAAAAATGGGGCCATCAGAAGGCTGTCGACGGCATCCAGGTCCGTCTATACCTGGCCTTTTCCACAATGCCTCAAGTTTGTTAATTTACCACACCCGCAGAAGAATATGCACCGAATTTCTTGTTTATTTTAGCTTCTCATTTACCTTGCATTTTCTTGGGAATTTTGTGAGACCGTTGCAAGCACAAGGGCTGTTTTCAATTTATTCTCATAATGGCGCCACCTTAGACTTCCTAAGCACCCGAAAATAACAGATTGACGCAACTCAGCAAGTAGTTCATTAGTTGCGTAAACCTACTTAGAACTAGGAAAAGGAGCCCAAATTAGAGGGTGCCTTCAGCTCATCCCGGTCTCCTTGAAATGCCATGAGTATAGGAGTTATAAAAGTAAATAAGTACATATTTAACTAGCCATTGGTGATCATCGTCATCGGGGGAATTGAGAAGTTGATGGACCCATCTGGTTAGCACAAATCCATAAACCTGGTCGGCAAGCGCCTCATAGTCCTCCGCATCGGGTGTGCGAGACATCCCAACGTTGTGGACACCAAAGGATCAATTTGGTTTACTTCTGGCCACCAATTAAGTTGCCATAAATACGGTGACTTTTGATCGCTTCACGTGACAGACGCTAGCACAGGAGCGAGTTGCTGTCACAAGCCATCTGCAAGTAGTATGGCTATCACAAGTAGCTGGAACGATACAGTCGGTGTGATGCGTTAATGAGCACTGACAAAATTTAGCTTTTTATTTAGCCTATTGGATGTAATTTGAAGGGCGGTAATAAACTCGGTGTGTTTGCTAAAAAAAATGACAACTAATCGCCACTAACAGGCATCAAGGACGCCATAGTGATTGCTGCAAAGGTTGAGCCTGGCCATAGAACATAAACTCTCTCAACTTCGATATTCCTAATAGATGGACAGAAAGGGTAAACAAGGGCTCAACATATAAATTTGGGTTTGTCCTCTGCTTTGCCACTAGCCAAAAACAGCATTAAGCCAACAGCAGGTAATAAAAAGCCGTTAAGTAGATGTCTTAGTAGCATAAATAGACCAGTCTCGAAGTGAGCGATGATGAAATTCACTCGCTACTATGACCTCAAGTGCAGCAGTTCAGATGTGTGGTCAGGCATGACCACCAGAGGACACCAGACCGAAGGTGTGGGGTCATAACGTCACCCATCTACATTGGCATGGGTGAGTTGAGTGTCCCTACCGTGGTGGGAGCAGTGGTGGACTACTCTCACACCAACAACAGCCACACTTTTCCCTCTGTTCGAACGATGCATAA